TCATTGTGCTCATGTGGAACCTGCACAGAGATCACGAGGTAGTCATTACAACGCAGTAAGGGAATATGGTGGGGCTTTGAAATTAGGAAAGGTATGCACCAGGGTCGTATCCTTTCACTGTATTCGTTCTGTCTTGGAAGAAGTGTAGCCAGAATACTCCCTAGAAGCAAGGATGGCGAGACTACATCTCCTGCACTTTGGACATGTCAGGACAGACCAGTCCCTCTAGAAGGACGTCATACTTGGCAGAGTTGAAGGGCAGGGTAAAAGAGGAAGACCGTCAAGATGGACTGACCCGGGCAGCTGCAGCAGTGTGCTCAGGCGTAAGGACATCGTGAGGATGGTCCAGGCAGGGCTTGCTTCTGTTGCACCTGGGGTCATGAGGGGGCCAAGCACCCTGACAGCACCTAATGACAACATCATTCAGTCTGCACGCTGAGTGTGTTAGTCCAGGTAGACGAGAGCCAAACTCATAAACATGCATAAGAAATAATTTATGGACAAGAGCAGTTGAATACTGAGAAAATGTCCCAGATGAAGTCCATAAGTCTGAGATTAGCCTCCATGGCCAATACCAATCTATAAAGTCCTCTTCAAATGCACAAAACACATGCAATGACGCCGAGTGCAGGATGATCACAGGCTAGTGGGTAGAAAGTCTTTGGGTCCAGTGGGGTAAACTTCTCAGCGCTGGCAGGGGTCTCCACATGGCTTCTCCAGCTGCCAGGGCTGCATCAGGGTAGGTCCATGTGTCTTCTCAGGTATGGCTCACAGAGAGTCACCTGTCTCCAAGGAGGAAAATCCAGGAGTTCCCAGAATTCTCAGAAGGCCATGCCCACACAGAGGCCTCATTGGCTATGACCCAATTAACAGACTAGACCCCACCCCTTCACGCTTAATCCTCTCAAGTCCCAAATTGCTACCAAATTATGAAACCACACTGAGCCAATCAGCTAGTATAGGACACAGGATGCAGCACCAGGATGGGGAACACCTTTGATATGCCATGCACTCCAGCTTGTTAAAAGCAAAGAGGACTTGAAACATTTAAAGATGAAGATTCAAGCCTTCATGTGGATGGTACCTCAATCTAAGGAGAAGAAGCTCGTCACAACTGGGCCGTTCGGCAACATTACCTTGAAGAGAAAGGAGGATGAAGTTGTCAAAGATGTCATTTTACTTGGACTTCACGTCAATGCCCAAGGAAGCACCCTGTCAAGGAACCCCAACATGTATAAGTGCATTGGGCAGATCTGTTGCAAACGATCTTTTCTTTTTTTTTTTTGCAAATGATCCTTTCAAAGTGTTAAAAAGCCAAGGTGTCAGTTTGAAGATCAAGTGTGCCTGAACCAAGCCATGGTATTTTCAATTGCCTCGTGTGTGGGAAAGCTGAATGTGGCAGTTACATAAGCTGTCAACTTGCGAAGGGGTGGAGTCTAGCCTGTCAATCAGGTCGCAGCTTGATGACCTCATTTGGAGGAATGAAGGAGATAAATAGCTCACTTGAGGCGAGATACATTCACTCCCTGGGAGACATGTCTGTTGACAGGCCACATGGAGCTTCGCAGGTAGAGCCAGAGCTCTGGAGCTGGGGCAGCCACGTGGAGACCCATGCCAACGCTGAGACACGTCCACCCACTGGCCTCTGATCTTCCTGCATTCTGCATCCTTGCATATGCTGCATGAGTCTAAAGAGGAATTTATGGAATAGTATGGGCTAATATCAGACTTATGGGCTTGATTGGGGCTGGGATGTATTCTTAGTGTACAATTACTCTGATATAAAGTTCTCTCTTACACACGAGTGTCTCTGAATTTGTTTCTCTAGTGTACCCAGACTAACACACCGAGCACTGAACAAGGAAGACAGATGGAGAATTGATAACTTTGAATTAAAAGTGTTGGTGAAGAAGGTTAAACATAGCACGTATTGCCAGGGTGAGCAAACCTGGGTTGAAAAAGAGGTGCAACCAGAATGTTCCTTAGAAGGATGGTGGAGAGCTCATGTCCCGTGCTTTAAACATGCCAACCGAGGCACCAGTCCCCGGAGAATGACACCACATTTGATGAAACAAACAGGAAGAGGTACCCAATGAGACAGCTGAATAATGGGCTCAATGCAGGAGCGTCGATGAGGATGGCAGGCTCAGGCCCTGAGCCTTGTACATAGGCTTTGAGTTGGGACAGCCTCCAGTACACGAACAAACCTCTCATAGCGTGTTGCTGGTGTGTATGTAGAATAAGACAGACAGCATTGAGTGTTTACGTGTCAGGTCTAACTGACAAACATTGTTCCATCCATATAAAATAGTCCAAAAAAACAAAAACTCCAGCAGCCCGGTGACAAGGATATGATTACTCCCACCACGCAGAGGTGGAAACCGGGGCATGAAAAATGGTCACATAGTCACTAGCAAGGAGGGCATGAAAACCGAGTGTGTCTGTCGGCAGAGTCTGAGTTAGGGACAAACTGAAAAGGGTCACCGCTCCAGAGCTCTCGGGCTCTTCGAGAGTCTGGGAACCGTGAGCAAACGCCAGAAGAGAGGCGAAAACCCAGCTCACCGCGTTTGTAAATGAGATGGAAGAAAAGCCCCCAGGCGAGCCGGCGTGGGCGTTCCACTGCGCCTGCGCCGCCCACAATGGCTCAGT